TCTCAGCCACTCCTTATAAGTCTTGCCCTAAATTAACTTACACTCCCATTTCAGGAGCCTTGCTGCTGTTTGGAGACAGAATCCCAGACTGAACACACATTTACTTGCAGTCCCAGGGCTGGGCCTCCCAAAAACTGCTGTCAGATACTGCACTGTTCCTTTAGAGAAGTGAGAAGAATTAGCAAGTTAGTGATAAGTAATTCTTTTCTCTGAGGGGGAAATGCATTTCTTTATTAATAAATAGAAGTAAAACTTCAGTCAGAGATAACCTGTCACAACAGAAAGAAGTGAAAAAGGTTTATTTTCTCAAGGAATAGCTAAGGTTGAGCAGATACTGTGTCAGAAAGATTTTAGGTGTCGGCAAGGTACAACCAGCAATTTTTCTGCTGTGTTTCCCCCTCCCCTCTCAGCAGTGGTTCTGAAGCACATAACCAAATTCTCAGTCAATGTAATGTCAAATAGCACAAAAAACCCACTCCCTCACAATCACATCTTCCTTTGGTATCCCAGTGACAGCATTCCCACCCCTCGTGTTTACAGCCTGTTACTTCCTGATGGTTGTCCTCTCCTTGCTTTGGATCTCAGAAAAGTGAAATGTTGATATTGAAAGAGAAATTCATCTGTGTGATGAGTAGTTATCTGGCATAGAAGCTGTCAAACCATGGAAGTGTCTTACAACTGCCATAGAATAATGAAAATATTCTTTAAAACTGTGACAACTGCAAAGTGAGACAGAAAATGAAGCTGCCTACACCTGGAGACTGCTCTCCCCTGTGTGAGCACATCAGCCTCTGCTCTGGACTGCACAGCAGGTTTCATGGAATCACAGAATGGAATCCTCTGAGTTGGAAGGGACCCACGAGGGTCATCGAGTCCATCTCTTCCATGACTGGCCTGGACAGGGATCAAACCCACAACCTTGGTGTTATTATCACCATGCTGTAACCAAGGGACAGACAGACCATTTTGCTTCCCATTTCCCCTCTGCCAAAACAAGGCACTGTTGCAGTCCTGTTCTGGAGGAGATGGGAGAACTGCCAGGATTCCAAGGGCAAGCAGCTCCTTGCAAAGGATCAGCCTTGGTGTGGGGCAGGATGGCTGATGGAGCCTCACCATGGTCAGGGGCACCCACAGACAAACAAAGGCAGCTCAGGCTGGAGGAGGTCTCAGCTCACTTGAGGAGGAGCTGAGGAAAAGCCCTGGCCAGTGCAGAGCACAATTCCAGCCTTTCAGAGAATGCAGTCTACGTAATGAATGTGGTTTTTCAGGAGTCAAAATAAAGATGGACGTGAAGCTTCAAACCATGCAGAGTCCATAGTACCTGAACCTGCACCCTGACTGTCACACAGCAAAGCACTTGCTTTACACAGAGGATCACAAAGATTCTGTTTGCCACAGTTCCTGAAAAGCTGCTCATTTCAGTGAATCAGACTTTGTCTCATTGAAAACATTTCTTGACTCCATGAAAAGCTGAAGATTTATATGCTTTAGACACTTAGGCAGAGATTTCCACAGGTCACCAGGGAACTGGGATGTTGAGCTCTTGCCAGAAGTCAGAACACTGAAGAGTGAGCACAGGCAAGCAAATATTCGAGGTATTTAACCTCCTCCAAAGGTGCCAAGGTTAAGCACCCAGGTGACTAACCACCTGCAGAAACACAAGCCCCAGATTTTGGGAGGTCATTTCTGTCAGCATGGAGCAGCCATTAGGAGATGTGGGAGATCCAAGGCCTTTGTCTCAGCCTTCAGTGCTCCTGAAGGCAACAAGGAGCCTGCAGGGCAGAGCATCAGTGGCTTCAGGCCTGTTAATCACTGCTGTGGTTTTATATGAAGTCCAAGTGTAAAGGTGGGGCAGGGGGGACATTTAGCAGGGCTGCTTTGAGGGCAGAGAAAAGATGAGATTACAGTTAAGAGTGGAAGATTGGTATTATCAAATCAATACCCTACAATAAATATAATGTGTTGATCCAATTAGCTGAGTGGAGTAAGATGAATCTAGGGGCTATTGGTGAAACAGGAAAATTGCAAGAGGCTAAAATTAAATGTACCCAAAAGAGAGGGGCAGTGGAAATAATACTCTAAAACAATGAGCTTGGGTGACTCTGTGCAGTTTGAAAATTTAAGCTGAGTACAGAGGTCATCATGGAATTTTTGGAGCTTTTATTCCAGAGGCTGAACAGAGACAAGTTCTTCCACAAGTGAAAACACAACAATGCCAAAATTCTGCAGATGAAGCTTGTTAAACTGTTTGCTAAATACCTTTGCACTGTAACACATTGAAAAGAAAGAGAAGTATCACTGTAATGATGTAGCTGCTTGCAGAGCTGGTTAACTCGTCCCACAGCCCCCTGTCCTCAGTGAACTCAGCAACCAGATTTAGCAGGAGCTATGGAAATATCAGGGAGGAGGCAGCAGTCAGGCTAAGTAAAGAACTGGCAGCCGAGGAAGGACAGGTATTTCAGACAGTTTCCAACACTTAAAGAACTCAGCTCTCAGTCTGTGGGTGTGTTTGCTCAGCATCTCGACTCAGTGGCCATTCCACACAACAGCAAAGCAATAATTCCAACTAAGCACACCAGGAAAAGGAAAACTTCTCTCTCTGAATGTTTAAGGAGCAGCTAAGGAAGACTGACTTATGCATGCATTTATTAAAATTCTCTCAGCACCGAGCAGTTCAGCTTTTAAGTTTCATGTGCAGCTTGAAAGCCAGGCAGAAGCCAAAACGTTTGGAAGAACAGCATCTCTTCAGAGGATTAGGAATTAAGTAAACTGCACATTAGAGATAAAATAGGGGAGTGCTTGTCTTTATTCTTAATAATAAACCACAAGGCATTGAGCTACACAGCATGATTAGCTCCTTTCAACTCCTCACTACTACTGCTGAGACAGCAATGTGGCAGTTTCACTGAAACATTAAAGAATACGGAGCGATTAAGTTAAAATTAAGTGAATTTAGGGCAGGCAGAAATGCTACATTGCAACCCAGAAGGGATAAGTCTTTTGTTTGGGTAAAGAGCAGCTTAAGCCCTAGTAGTGTTAGAATGGATTCCTGGAAAACAGGAGTTATTCATGGTTTGAAGGGACCAGCTCTGGGGCTGGACATGTTACTCTGCATCTCTCCTCTCCTTCCTGAGTCACCCGGGGACTTGGTCTCTAAAACATCAGCCCTGCAGTGGTGCCTGCCAGGCTGGGGAAAAGGATGAACTTGGGGAACCACACCTGAGGGCTCATCCCCTCCTCCTTCAGCAGCTCCATACAGTCTTGAACTTCATGTTTCTGTGACTGGATTCCTCATTCATAAACTCCTCTTACAAACATGACAAAAATACAAAACAACCCCAGACAACCAAAGAACAGTTAAGTCTGTGAGATACAGAGATACTAAGCAACCAGGGGCCATATACAATCAGCTCAACACATACAACAAAACCCATGACTGACCAGACTCCTGGGAATGAAAACACTCTGCACAGGATGGACAGAGGTCTGTCTTCACTGTAGACCTGCAATTATTCAACTCCTCTCTACGGTTTAGAGAGATACTAAATTTATCCTGCTGTACCCTGACCTCGTTTAGGATGGCTGGAGTAAGAGAAGGAACAGATCAAACCTCCCAGCCCTGCTCCCTCCAAACTTCAGCTGTAGCCTATGAACCCGCACACTTTGTCCTTTACTGTCACCTTCCACCTGTGGGAGAAGCTCACCCAAAACCTCTTGGTTTGAGTATCTACCAAATCCCACCCTAAAGTGCTTCCTCATTGCCTGAAAAAACTGGGCAACACATAAACCACTAAAAACACTTTGGCACCAAAGCCCATCCCGTTAAGGCAAAGCTGTTTCCTTGTCTTTGCACAGTCTTAGTTAGGCCATCCCTGGTTAGGGAGCCACCTTTTCCTGCCTTACAGAGCCTGGCACATGTGACTTGGACCCAAAACTAAGCAAATCTAAACAAGCAAACAGACCTGCCTTAGCCCAGTGAGCAGCTGGAGCTCTGTGGTGGCCTTTAGGCACTGCCCAAACCAGGGCTGAGTGCCACGAGCACACATTCAGTGTGCCAGGATGGGCCCTGAGGTGGCTGCCACCAAAGCACACGAAGCAGAATTAGAGCTGCTGAAAGCCTTCCAGGAAAACACTGGGAAAAGGCAATGAATCAAAATGAAAATGCCTCCTGCAATGGACTCTCTTCCAACAACAGGGGCCGGTTCCCCACGGACTCTCTCAGGCTGCAGGGATTTCACAACATCTCAGGCAGAGCAGACACATAAATCACCTGAAAGGGCTTTGGGTTTGACTCTACAGCACCAGCAGTGTTTGGAAACTTGTGTCTACCAAAGCTGGCAGAGCTTTCAGATTTGTGGATTCTGCTCCCCTCAGGGAAAATATGAGAAGGGAGCCTTTGGTCAGATTCCAAAGGAAAATATCTTCAGTCTTTGGGTTCCTCTGGACTGATACGTGTCAGCATTTTGGGAACCTGAAAGTCTGATTACTGCAAAGACCCAGTTATTGGCTTGGCTTGCTCTGGAATATGCCCTGGGATTCACAGAGAGCCTGAACTCTGCTTCCTGAAGCTGGCATGGTCCCAGGTCCCTGTCTGCCCTGTGGCAAACCACCCCAGGCTGTGGCTGTGCTGGGGCGTTAGAAACCATTACTCCATCCTGGGTAAACATTTTAAAACAACACTTCCTGTTTTGTCTTTTAAAGTTATCAGGAGAGTTACATTCTCCACCCAGAAGAATGACTTCTCTTGTTTACTGTTCTCATGGATCTACAGGATGGAGGTATAATACAATGGATAATATACACAGAGAAGTTTGGAATATTAGGCTCATTTTGATCTTGGGTAAACTATGTAAACCTGAGAGTCTCTTACTGAGCTGCAGAGGCAACAAGAGCTCCACAACCCCAACCTGGTGTCTGTTCACCTTTACTAAACCAACCAAAATAGGTGATTTTGCCCTAACTCTTCCAGTAGCATCTCTAGTAAATGTTTCCATACCTGTGAGAAATTCAGGAACTCTTGTGATTTCTCTGATGCTCAGCAGTGAGAGAGTTTATTACCTTCAACAGGTCTTCAGTTACCTACAGGAAGAAAAGATTCACAAGTATCATCACAAGTATCATCAGCCTCTGTCTTTCCAACACTTGCAGATTCAGAAATGCACAAAAAAACCCTTTTTATTTTGCAACTGAGTTTCCATTAATTTCCATTTAGACCTCCTGTTTATCTCCCAGTTAGACCATCCTCTGTGCCTTGCTCCAAAGCAGAAATATCCCCCCACAACATCCTCCCCCAGGCTAATGTTCAGGCGCTGGTTTTATACCCACCAGATATTTCAGAGGTGCTAACTCTGTATTTGCCTTCCAGATAATCCATCTGAACTTCCTGAAGTCAACCACCTGCCAAAAAACCACAAGATAACAGCCAACTAATCTTCCTTTATAGAGCCAAAACTCTGATCTGGTATTCTAGACAAAAGAAAATCCTACTATTTTACACTTAATCATCACATTTTGTCTTTTGTCCCCCACAGTATATATATATTTGTGAGGGTCTTTTGCTGTCTTGATGAGTTAAGTGGGAGATTTCACTGATGGGATGCAATTTCACTGATGGGATGCATTTAAAAAGAAAATCAAAAGCAAGAATCACCAACAGGTGTGGTGTTGCAGAGCTGTCTTCTTATTTTTCAGCTGGATTCCCAGGTTCAGGAAAGTGCTGAGTTCACACACCAACATGCAGCAGGTATTTTGGAAGCCAAAGTCAAGGACATTCATGGTTTGCCCTTCAGTGATGAGCAAATTCAGTCCTGCACATTTGGGGAGAAACTTGTCAAAGGTACAGGCACAAAAACAAGGTCCAGTTTGATCCCACAGTAGTCTAGATTACAGAATTTCATAGAAACTCATGTAGATTATCAATTAGTCAGAGATCCACCCACTCTATGCTAAATTTGCTGCAAATAGACTGTTCTCTGTTTCATCAAGCAGTCATGGTGCCATTCAGAGCAAAGTTTGCTCAGCCAAAGCTGTGGAGACATGGAACAGGTTCATGGAGTTCAGAATTAGCAGTGATATAAAGCTATTGTAGTCATTACAGAACAATTCTTAAAATCCAATGCCCACATCAATTGTAGTCTCTCCAAATTCAAGCCAACCTAAAGATAAAACCAAATAATCTGCCAGAATAGACTTACTGCATTGCTAATGGGTATTAGAAAATGTAACTGCAGGAAAAAAAAGGAATAAAACAAAAAGACCATGATGAAACCTCTCTTATAGAATTCCTAATAACAGATATAAAAGTTCTTTACAAGAGACAAGGCAGGAGGGAAGGGCAGGGAGAAAAGCATCACTTATCACAGTGAAAAAACAAAGGCACAGATTCTTAATATTCATCTTAAGACTCCCCAGCAGGCTGGAACAGAAATCAAACCTGAAGCCTCTAGTTATTTGTTTTGAAATACAATTGTAAAACGTGCAGTCGTCTGAAGAAACATGCTACAGAACAACACACAATTTACCTCCACACAACTGGAGTGAGAGCAAATTTTATGTCTAATTCCACACAGTCTGGCTTCATCCTCACATTACCAGAGCTCAGGAGTCCCCCTGTCACACTAACCCTATACGATGCTGCTGTGAGCACAATTTCCCCTTCAAAATCCTCGAGATCCTTGTTCTCACACCCGAAGTGCAGGACACAGCCCATCCTGAGTGTCCAGCTGTCTGCCCCCACCGTCCTGCTGTCTGCCCATCCCAGCCAGGCTGTGCCAGGACGGTGTTCAGGGAAAACAACTTTTCCCACCCAAACTTGTCTAATGAAACTCAACTTTGGCGAAGAAAAGAAACTACCAAAGGGTTTCTCTTGCTCCCCAGCATCCTGCCTTCTTTTGAAGTTCACAGTGAGAAATTACACAGGCTGTTGGGGAAGAGGCAGCAAGGTGAATATGGGTGGCAAAAATCTGAAAAGAGAGGAGTTGTCGGGCATTTCTTTCCCCTCCCTAAACATGCTTTTATTTCCCTTTAATTCTTACTTTTAACTCCACTTTATGTGGAGCTGCAGGTCACCACATTGACCTTCCCTGGCATTTCTGCTGCTGCTGCCAGTCTGTCCTCCCGAGGGCTGAGGGCACCAGGGACCACGTTCCGAGGAGCTGGCGGAGAAAGCAAAGCGTTTGCTGCCTGTTTTTATGACAAGTAAATGAACACATGCGAACGCCAGTCTGTCGCACCTGCTCCTTTTCCCACTTCATTTTTCCATCACCTCAGGCGACACATGAACTTACAGACAGTATGGTTTTTTTCCTCAGCCTTTACTTCCAACTTGCTGCGTTCCTCAAGATGTTTCTCAAGATGCCTTTATCAAAATAACTTCCGACCAGACTCTCCCCCAGCCCCTCACAACTCTAAAAATAAGAAGCAGGAGCTGCTGAGATCTGTGCAGAGCTCGAGGCGCGGCCGCCCGAGGGGCGCCGGCTGCCGCCTCTCTGCAGCCCGGCACAAGAGCTGCAGGCAGGGAGGGTCCATTTGGGAGTTAAAAACGCAAACAGCCCCCCAAAGTCGTATTTTTGGCTTTGCGAGAGCTGCTCGAGCCGCAGCCCGCCATCTCCCTCTAGTGCCCGGGCGCGCCGGCCCCGCCGCCATCTTGGCCGGGCTTTCCCTCTCCCACACTGCCCTCTGCAGCTCCATCCCGGGCCGTGCCTCCCGCTGAGGAGAGAAAACATAAAAAACCCATAATAAATATAATATAAAAAGTCCTTCCTTGTGTTAGAGAGGGGGTCCTTCCAGTCAGGATGATCAGAGAAGACCCACGGCGTTCCCCGAGACGTCAACACCTCGCAGGCCCGGCCGCCTCAGCGCCAGCACAGGGTCTCATGCGTCTTGACTAGAATCTCTCATTTTTTCGCACTAAAATCACCAAATTGAGGCGTCATCAGATTGCACTAAAGATGCTCGATCAGTTTGCACAAACAGGTCACCATCAGCCGTGTTTCTACCCCTTTCTGGTGCAGGACAGGTGCCCTGGAAAGCTGGGCTGGCCAGCACAGGCGCAGACACACCTGCCCGCCCCGGCTCCATTTTGCTAAAATAGATTCTTCAAAGCAATAGATTAGTACATTGCTGTAGCATTCAGTGATGTATTTACTGCTGCAAAGCTCCAGATGCTCTGTAAGCCACAATAATACAGTTAAGTGGAAAATGAGTCATTTAAAACCATAATGACTATCATAGCATGACTCCGCTGACAACGAGCCCCGGCGGTAATGCTGCGAGGTGGATGAGGCTGGATCGTCAGGGCTGTGGGGCACGTCAAGCTCTGCCTTCAGGGCAGGGCCTGCAGCCCCCCAGCCCTGGTGCTGCCGGGGGAGCCCCCCTGGTTTTGGGGTGGGGATGGCCGGGGTGCTGAGGTGCTCCTGTGAGCCCCCATCTCCTCAGCACCACACTCCACCTCACTGCCGGGATCATGGAAACGCTGTTGTGGCTCCCAGGTGAGAAAAGCTGGGCACCCGGATTTCGGTGTGAGGAGGCAGAGCTCAGTTCTCACCAGCATTCCCAGGTGCCCTGGGAGCAGGTGGTGAGGGGCTGCCACCCTTCCCAAAGGCTCCTGGTCAGACACCCCAGGCTGTGCCCATGGGGACGGATGCATTTCCAGGTGCTTGCCATGGCCAGTCTGGGGACAGGCAATATGAGGAGGGACATGAAGGCTCCTCCAGCCTTGCTGTGGTCCTCAGCCAGGCCAGACAGCAGTGGGGCCATGTGGGGCCATGCCTTGCTGCTCCTCAGGCAAGAGAGGGGAGAGTCAGGAGAGTGAGTGCAGCCTCAGGGAAATCACAGGATCCCAGAACATGCCAAGCTAGGAAGGGGCCCACATTGAGTCCAATCCTTAGCCCTGCACAGGCCCCTCTGTGCCCCAGAGGATCATCCAAACACTCCTTGAGCTCTGGCAGCCTTGGTGCTGTGCCCACTGCCCTGGGGAGCCCATTCCATGTTGGCTCTCCGCTGATGTGACAAAGGCAAATAGGGTAGAAAAGGTAAAAGCAGGGCCAAGCTTTCTGCTGGTATTAAGCAGACAGCTCCGGTGATGGTAAATAAACCATTTTAATTTGTCTTCTTAGGAAATTTGGCATCAGTTTTTTCCCCCACCTCCAAAGGAAGAAATTCTCTCGCTTAGAGCTTTGCTAATTGTTTCAAAAGGCAGGTAATGGAAAAATCAGATGGATGTGCTCACTAAAGGCAGAGACTTTAAGGAGCTCATAGAATGGAATCATAGTATATCCTGAGGGAAGGGACCCACAAGGATCACTGAGTCCAACACACACTAACTCACACTGTACATACAATTTGCTATAGAGAAGCATCTTTTATTCCCTTAACACAAGCAATGTGCTTTGTTGCTGGACTGTAGCACTGTGCAATTTAAGCCTAACTCTCCAGAATACAATTGCCTTTATCGAGCTGAATGCTCTGGGTATGGACCACTTCCAGTGCCTTGTATTAAATGTGATAAAGCAAGGTCACTCCTTAATCAACCTGACCAGTGCCTGCCACAGCACCGCTGGGATTACTCTCATTTATGTAGGGGACCAGGAGAGCTCCTCACAGATCAGACTCATAAAAATAATTTACTGCTACATTCACCTTGCCCAAAACAGCAGAGCCATCCCGTCAGCCTGCACACATTTCAGGCTCTCTTGAACTACCCTCTTGTGGTACGGCTGCAGAATGACATCTTCTTCTAACAGCTTAAAATACATCCAGTTCTGCTTCACTTTCTAGGATTAACTGAGACAAAGCTTTCCTTTTGGAGTGCAATAACACCCTTTTTTTATCAACGAGCTCCAAATGCATCATGTTTCCACCAAATACACCGAGCCCCCCAAAATAGGGACGACTGAAAATCCCAGGAAGTTTATAGTTCCATTTTTAGTTGTCTGTAAAAGAAAAGAAAACAAATTTCCAAGCTTTTAATGCAGTTTCTGCTGCATAAAGCACCCCCCTGCCCCCTCAACAGTGATTCAACAGAAACTAGTTAAGGGCTCTGAAGATGCAAAGCAAAAGATACATTTCATAATCATATTGTATATTTGATAGGTAAAGGCTCTATCTAATGAGCTGATTAAGTTCTTGCTTAATTATTTTCTTGTATTGAAACAAAGATAATTGTACCAGGGCTGGGTGGTTCAGTTCCTAGGGCTAAATGCAAGCTTTTTCAGTAGAGAAACATAAATTCAACCAAGAAAAATGCTGCATTCAAAGTGAGTTTCAATGTTGAGCAATAATGATGATTAAACAAGCCACATTAAGTGCTAAAATACAGCATATCTGCCCTCAGTAATCAGAATGACCACAGGCCTTATCAGCTTGGGTCAATACTCGAGGCACTTGAATTATCAATAAATAAGTAAACCCATTCTTTCCTGGATAAGTTTAACAAATCTAGGGTGCCAGAAGTTGTTAACATGGGTGAGGGTTGAAAGTGCTTTCTAAAAAAATAAATTCCTCATCTCCTACCACCACTGACTCTGCAATTTACCTGATCCAGGCTCTTTTTTTTGTTCTCAAGTGGCCCGGACAGTAACCTCGTTGCCCTGGGTGACTCCTGGGCTGACTCAGGCACCTTGTATTCCACTGGTGACTCTGAGTTTTGTGTTCTCAGCAGCATTTTTCCCATGTATAAAACAGGGATTACCAGCCCAGCAGAAGAAACACCAAATGGCAGCAGAAAGGATGTGGGAGATTGTAGGGTGGCACCGTGATTTCATACCCTGCTCCTTGCTGGATTGAGCTTCATCCCTGATATTGTGCCTGACAGCATGTGAGCATTTTGACAGCTATCAATACCTGTGTTTCCATATGCAGGCAGTGCAGGAATGAGAAGGGGGATATTCTTTATCATCTGGAAATACCTTTTGCTAACATGATTTCAGTTGCAAGATACCTGTGGAAAAGGAAAGGTGTGTGTTCCCAACACATTGCCAGCTGGGAACTTCCACCTTGCCCACGGCCACAAGCAGTCCCAGCTCCTCTAGCTGGAGACAGGACACTGGGAGAAGAACAGTGTGCCCTCACCTGCAGCTCTGGTTCTCCTCAGCTGGCACAAATCTGGAGTCTTTCGTAGAGGTTACCATGGCTAATTCACTGAGGCCTTCAGTTTTAATACTACTGAGGGAGTTTTTTGTACTACAGCAGCACTGGGCAATGCTCACTTGCCCCAGCCAGGGCAGCAAGCACAGTGCAGTCACAGAGTGAGAGACAGACTGTCCCCCAAAGAGCTTCACTTAAGGAATGGCCAGGATTGGTACTTACAGTGGGGACAAGGAAGCTCTGACAGACTGTAAACCAGCAAGGGAGGAGGAAGCCCCACCACTCCTTTGCACACACTTCTCTCAACCAGCAAAGTTAGAGGTTCGTCTTCATCCAGAGTAAAGGCAGAGTCACCTTCAAAAGGCAATTCAGCCCATTTCAGTTGGGATCCTGCTGCAAATCACCTTCTGAAGGTAAGTACAGGTATGCTCAAAGCTGGCAGGTGGAGTCCAAAGAAGGAAGTTGGTTTATCCAGGTGGGACTTAACCGAGTCACTGTGGGAGTAACAAAACCCCGTGTGATCTGAGCCTTTGGCCACTGTTTGAACCACAGCTCACTCTTCTTCCTTGCCAGAACCAGAGCAGCAAGCCAGGGAGCTCCTCTGGAAAACAACATGACCACTGGTGTGTTACCTTATTCCAGAGGGCTTTCAGCAGGGTCACCTGCACGTGTGAAGCAGCAATTAAGAGTCCAAAGCAGCAAGAATTGTGCTAAAGAATTACTTAACAAGGCACAGCCACAGCAAACGAAAATTTACTTTCAGTAAAATCCTCCCCTATCCTCCAGTCCAGCAAGGACTACAGTTTTCATGAGCTCATACAGGCAAAGGTAAAAAGGAACACAAATATGGCTGTGACTTTTGGGAAAATATTAAACACAAATTAGACACAGGCAGTGTCTATTGCTGCCTGTGATAGATTTAGCTGTCATAGGCCATGAGAGAGAAAAGGATTGCAAAGATTGCAGCAGTAAGGTCTGCATAGATGAAAACCAGGCTAGAGCAAGGTATTAGTAAGGAAAAGCAAAGACAATATAGAAAGTTAAAAAAGAAGGGTCAAAGTATGGCATAAAATGAACATTGTATTGGGAAATAAATGTTAGGAGTGCTTTCAAAGATTCCTCTCCTGTACACTATGGTTGGCATCTCAACTGGTGATAGGAAGATGCTAAGTTAAGTGGAAAAATAGTTGGAGTGTGGGAAGGTGGGACTTTAAAGCCTAAAGCAAAGTCCTAGGTGCTGTAGGCACGGTAGCTGAAGGCTTTCTAGGATCTAAATCTCACACAACCTACAGAATTAATACCTTTACCACTCATTTCATTCCCACAGATGGTACTTGGTGTGGTCTTTAAATGAACTTCATTTCTTAAACACTAGTGAATTCAAAAATAGAAGATTTAAGACAAATGTCCTGCAGAGAAAACCCTGCAAAAATGATCAAATTGTCTATACCTGCAAGCTAACATCCCTGTATCAAACTTCTGAAAAACAAGGAAGGCACCTGAAAGAGTTTAAAAGCATTAAAAAAATCTGTTTTCATCTCTTTCTATACCTCTCAGGCATATTCCTCTGAGTATCACCAGCAGTAGAAGACTTGACACACAGATCTTAAATTGGATTGAAATCAAAGGGAGTGAAAGCCTCAATGCTTCCTGGGACTCTGGGAGTGAGGGCTCATTGGCTTAATTGGGAATTAAGGACCAGCAGCAAGAGTTTGCTCAGCACCTGGGAGGACAAAGATCATAGTCTGGACAATGAAGAGCACGTTTCTTCCCCCTGAAGACACCGACAGAGCTGTCAGGGCTCCTCTGAGCCTGGAAGACAATGCTTTCATCAGAACCTCTCTCGTGGGGACCCTCACACTTGCTCCAGTAGTTCCATCCTTCTGTGGCCACCTAGAACTGGTTTCAGTCAGAAACCCAGAAGGCTTTTAATGATGTGCATCCAGAAGACTGAGATTATGGTCTAACTAAAATCTAATCCAAGTAGGGTAGTACTATATTTTAAAGAAGCCAAGGATGTGGTCTCCTTTTTGTTCCTTTTTCTCTGATTACTCTAATAATTTTAATAAGATGGCTTAGAAAAGCTTGCCGTTTCCTTTCCATTTTTAACAGCTATTCCTTCTGAACAAAACCCCACTGTTGGGAAAAAGGATTTCTTCCCCATGGCAACGCTGGGGTACTCCACACAAAGAAGCACCTAGCAGTTTAGTTCACATTTTTTAATAACATGGCACAATTTACATTACACAAGTCTTCGCTGATGAGGAAACATGCTGAAGATTGAGAGCCGCTTCACTTTGCTTTTCACATAGGATCTAGAAAGGACTTTATTACATACAGGATAAACAGCAAAAAGGTTTGTATATAACAATCTCTTTACAATACTGAAAGCTACCACTACGGTTCCAGTGTACATATTCCTCAGGGTTGGGATTTTTTTTGGATTTTTCCTTTTGTTCTTAAAAAAAAAAAAAAAGGAAAGAAAAAAGAAAAAAAAAAGAAAAGAAACCACCGCACAACATCTGGAGTTCACAAAATCTGAAGCTCACAACTAAACCTTCAGTTGACTACTAAAATAGATCTCTGATCATTAGAAACAACTGTCTGTAGTTAACTTTTTTCTTTTTTTTTTTCTTTTTTTTTTGCCAAAACAGAGTAACAACTTCAGATAGCACTTTAATACACTAGAAGACCAATGGAACTAATTTTATTTCATACATATATTTTACAGTCCAGTAGACAAGATATTGAATTCTCTCTGATAAAGTCATATTCTCTCCAAATATTTAGACAAGAAACTTAATGCATTATAAAAAAGTGTGCTATGAAAAGACAAGATTTCAGAAGATTGATGCATATTTGTAAAAAGGACCATGTTCTTCATGTTATTTCATGGCTTCTGTGATTAGGGAACAACAAGGCTGGCCTGTTAACTCTTCACAGACTTTATTACCAACTGAAATACAATAAATTGCATTATGAAATCTGCAATGGAGTTCATTAATTAAACACTGATCCACAGTGAAAACATATCCATCATTTAGAAAAGTATTCCTGTAGGATTTGTTTCAAGGTAGCTAAAAATCCCATAACACAAAAAAAAAGAAGCGTGTGTACAGATAAAAATGACAGACTGGCAATAAAACCAGACATGAATGGCTATAAGCAGATGCTCTTCCAGAAAGAAATTTGACATGTTCAGTGACAAAAGTTCTGGAAAAGATCCAGCATTTGATTATTCCTGTTTAACCCAGATGAATGTGACTGAAAACCAATTGGCCATGACTTCAGTACCGGTGCTTTCAGAGCACTGACCCTGACGCCGTGGAAGCGACACACGAGCTCCAGTGACCTCAGCAGCCTCATGCAGGGCTTCAGACAGAAAACTGCACCTCTAGTGGGCTGTTTCTTCATCAAAACAAGCAAGAGAAATAGGCTCCTATTAGAAATGAGCTTGTTCAGGGAAAATATGACTTTAATTATGTTGTGTGTTGAAAAGGCTCCTTTGAGTTATAAAGGCTTTTGTGAAAAGCCTTAAATTCATTGCATAGTTGAAGGGGTTTAGCTGTCTATAACAATATATGTAACACAGCATAAGCAGACTGTGTTGATCAATATTAAGTTTGCAAATAGCACAGTTTAAGAAGTATTAATGTATTATGTTACTTAATTTTATCTATTTACATTTGTACAAAGTAAAGCTTTCATCTTACCCTTTTTGCATATATGAACCATTAACCCATGAAGCAATCTTTTTACATAAATATCTACAATTGACTTCATTTCTGGTCTGAAAGAGCTTTGTAGGGTTGACATTGGTGGTGGCTTGTTTCTAGTCAAATCACTCAGATTGATGTCTTGTTCTTCAGTTCAAATATTGAAATTCTTAAACTAGAAATAAAATAGAGTAGGAGACACGAGAAACGTATGGACTTGGCTAAAAGATCTGGAAAATTTCAACATATAATATACAAAAAAAACATTTCAAAATCTTTGCACTCGGGTCTATACATATTGTACAGTGGGTCACATCCCCAGTCTGTAGCAATGACTAGTAAGAAGGTCTTTATATTATGTTCATGTACAATGTTTTTGTCCCTCTTTCTATGGTTTTTATTCAGTCTCACTCTGCTTATCGAGCTTCAATGTCCTTGAGGGTGTGAGAGGGGGGCCTCTCCCTCATCTCCGTGGACAGAGGAGTAGTCCTTCTGGGAGACCCAGGCCGAGGTCCCAGCGTGGAAATAAGAGGCGGGGGGGCACTGAGAGCTGCTGTGGGGGGAGTTTTGTTGAGGATGCCGTTCTGGTGTGCCGTGGGGGGGCTGACTCGGGGGTAGTGCATGCTGGGGAGTCCCGGGGTGATGAGGCTGGGGTGGGGCAGGTGCCCGTCCAGGGCGGCCGGGTGCACCGAGTGCAGGCGCGCGTGCTCGTAATCCTCCCGCAGCATGTGCAGCCGCTCCCGCTCGTCCAGGTGGGTGCCCCGCTCGTGCTCGCGCCGAGGGTCGACAGACAGAGGGTGGTGGTGATGGTGGTGGTGGTTGTAGTCGTGAGGCTCCCGATCCCTGAACGACCTGTCTGCTTCGTACAGTCTTGGCGTGGAAAGACGGTGAAGGGGGTCATTCCTTAGCAAAAAGTCTCTGCCCAGGGGGTCTCTCCGATGAATATCCAGCTCTCTGTACGGATCTCTCAAGGGATCCCTCATCGGGTCCCAGTGGAAAGAAGGATAGGGGAAACGTTCTCCACCGGGAATTGGGCTAATTCCCATAAAAGGCGTCATCATGCGAGTCCTATCGAGGCCACTGATGCTGTTCATGTGATGTATTCCAGTTACACCTACAGTCATGGGCATAGACACTAGAGGACTTGGATGGACGTTGGATGTAGATATAGGTGGTGGTTGATCAGATGACCGATGAGTCTGAGGTCCCTCAGGTTGAACATCATGGTCTTCCTTTCGCTCTTCCTTCACTTTGACTTCGTTGCTTTTCTTGGGATTCTCGTACGCCGGCTCGTTCTTCCTCTCGGCCTCGCGGTTTGAGGTGCTGTTGGGCCTGGTGCTCTCCACAACGGGGGGCCTGGCATAGGGGGAAGGAACCCTGGGCATCTGCTTAGACTCTTCCACCACTCGGCTTTCATGGCTCAGGCCTTCTTTCTCCGAAATATAGTTGTCCTTCACCTTGTGCTCTTCAACATTAATTTCCTTCCGGGATTCGGAGTGATCCCTCTCTCGTTCTTTGGGTTTCTCTTTCTCTCGGACCTCGGGGTTCAGATGGCTCCTGATCTGCTCGTTTGAGCTGCGGTTATGTCCGAGGGAATTTACTGGATGGATTGGTGCTGGCGAAGGATGGCTGGAGTGTCTTTTCTCAATGCTCTCCCTACAAGAAAGAGAAGTGTGAAAATGAAGGCATGAGAAGCTCTGCAGATAAAACAAAGCGTCAGGTGTCTGGCTCTCTGCTCGTGGCTTTGCAGAGAGTTGGTAACATGCACCACTAATGCACTGTGCCTTTGGCACACCCAAAACACCAGAAGAACATCCCATCTCTAAACTTGGCCTGTTCTATTATCTCATCCCAGGAGAAGAAGATCCCAAAGCTGCTTTATGAATAATCTGATTGAGATCTCAAACACTGAAGTCCACAGAAGGCTCCCATGGGAATCCAGGTCTAGGACACACATTTCTAAAACAACGGCCTTAAATGTTTGCAAAGAGACAGAAAAGTAAAAACGTACTAATTTCATCCAAAAAAAGTGAGATAATTAAATCCAAATTATGTGTTAGTAGTATTTTACCTGCTTCTTCTATTAGGAATATGTTTGGGAAAACAGATGACTTTCAACTGACTTTTAAGAACATTTCTAGACCTATATATGTTTACTCATTTCTCTCCTCTGTTCTCTACAAGTGTGTAGCTTTTCAATTTATTTCTGACAGTTCAATTTACTTCTTCAAACTCAAAACAAAAGCCTCTCAAGAAACCAGTACTGCTGGTGACAACCCACCTCTCTGAACAGGTGGAGACTTCTCTAAGTGTGCAGTGGCCTCAGTGCAAGTGTTTTAACAGAGCTGGCACAGATTGTGTGACCACTTCCTCAGCAGGCAGGGACAGGGTCAATGCTAGGAGGTCTCAAAATACTGTGAATGCATCACTCTTTCAAACCTATTTATGGTGTCCAAAAGATTAGAGAATTATTGCCTGGCAGTGGACAAAAACCTAAATATGGGAATGGGTTCCGTACCAATTATTTTCAGGAAGCGGTGTTGACCAGGAGTTGTTATGGGCAACACTAAGTGAAAAAGCTTTCCTATTTATAACTAATAAAATTCATAAGGTCAATCTAAGCCCTCAGTTCCAATGATTTTAACCTCCTACTAATTTCAGTTGATCTCTAAGTTGGAGTCTCTCCATGAAGACAGCTCCAGATGCTCAGTGTTGGACACATGCTGTTTGCTGAGCATGGAAATTCTGTTCCATGTGAGATGGACAATGAGCTGTTAGAGGCAACAAGTATTATGGCCATAAACTAAACCACAAGAAGTTCCACCTCAACATGAGAGAGACCTTCTCTCCATTGAGGGTGGCAGAGCACTGGAACAGCTGCCCAGAGAGGTCTCTCAGGAGACAAAACCCACCGGGATGTGTTCCTGTGTCACCTGCTCCAGATGTCCCTGCTAAGGGGGTTGGACTGGATGATCTCTAGAGGTCCTTCCCAACCCTAATGATTCTGTGACTCTGGGAAAAGTGAGAGGTAAGCAGTGAGGCCTCTCAAGTCCCCACCAGCTCCAGTTTCCATGGTTGCTCTTTGGGTGCTGCTGAACGAGGTGCACCCTGAACAGGCTGGGCTGGGGACACAGGGTGACATCACTCTGGACAAGATCAGCAGTACTGACTGCCTGAAGGGCAGCTCAGAAGGAGAAGTGGACACTTGCTCCTTCACCTACACAATTTCTGCTGCCTACTTTTCTTGCTGAGCTGAACTGCCCAAGATTTCTATCTCTAAGTACTTCTGGATGGTGAAACTGCAGCAACTGCAGAAAAACTGTCGTTGAGGAGGAAATTGTCAGTATTATAATCTCACCAGAGGCATTTTTTCCTGTGTCTGGGCTGAATTGTTGAGACTGTCATTTTATGGGCCATGCCTGAGAGACCTCCAAGAGTCAAGAATGTGACTGTTAGAAAACATTTGGAAGATGGAGCATTTGGTACCAGAACTGCCAAGTCTGCACTGCCCAACAGATAACTCCTTGGTATCAGGTTCTGCCTTGACTGACTGTGACCTAAACAGTCTGGAAATCCCATCCTGGCCTAATTTCCCTCCTCTTGCTTTGAGGTGTTTGATTTAACAGCTGCCAGATCTGGACACACGGAGACCAAGTCAAGGCACTCCAGTGAAGGATTCTCAGGTTGATGACTCAATTCTTTTACTTTGCTGGGAAAGCACTGGCTTGTGGGCTCTGCAACACCTAATCTTTTATTTA